GCCAAATAATGTTAAAAACATTCAATTTATTTTTACAAATAGTATTTTCTATTAATTGGATTAACAGCTAAATATTTTTTTGCATTTGTTAGGCTAAAATTTTATAGTTAATCAATACAAATAGACCCAAAATATGATGAACTAGTATTATACAATCATGACTTTCCAGATAAAATTCAGTATCCTATATTTCAACATTACATGTTTATTCTTCGCTAAAATAATATCGCAGATTTAAAGAACTTGTAGGTTTATACCAATGAACAAATACTAAAAAATATTCAGCCTTTTCGAGTAGAAAATCGACCTTATATATAAAATAATATTAGATTTAGCCAGAATAATAATTGACTGTATTATTATTTGTAATAAATTTAACTAAAATATACGAATTTTTTACATATTGCAAAGACATCAATGATCCAAAATTTCAGAACTAATTCAACACCTTCTGAATTGATTTATTTTAATCTGAATCATTATACTATCTTCTGAATCCTTATCAAATAGCTTTCTAAAATCAAACGTGATATAAATCGCATTGTAGTATTCAACCATTAAATCAAGTATTTTACTTGAAATAATTATATTATCAGATAATAGTTTAAGAAATTCACCAGAAAATAGTTTACTATTAGTAACATTTGATTCCTTAATATTTCGTAAATTCATCTAAAATTTATAGATTTCGCCAGAAGAAAATTTATCTGTATCTGAAAGAAAATTAATTGAAGGCTAGTTGTCTAGTAATTTAAGCCCTTTTATCTCAATACTATCAGAACTTGTAATACTGTCAATTTGAATATCAAATATCAATCAATGCATTAGCTTAGGTTCAATTTTTCTATTACTATTCGGTAAAGAACTTAAAAATCATTCATAAATAAGATAGGTCAAATTTTAGCTAATTTTGATATATACTATAAATAAGATGGGTGTAATTTTAGCTAATTTTTAACATATGTCTAAAAGAAAATATTGTGAATAAATAAATTCGATTAAAAAATTTCCTATAAATAATTGTAATTTCTTTTTTTTTATATTCTTATAAAAATATTAGACTAGAATGTAAATTACCTAATTGAGAATGAAGCTGATAACTTTATATTTATTTTATTATATATTTATCTTTACAAATTTTTTGTATTAATTAAACTTTAATTTTTAATAATCATAGATTGTAAGTTATTTAATTTCTTGTTATTTTATATTATTTATTAAGCTCAGTTAAATCTAATTTATTTAAATTTATAATATTACAGATAGTGAGATTTGATCTGTTTTAATATTTATTGTATATATAATTTAAATAACTAAATTTTTTATATTTATATAATTAACAATATATTATAGAAAATAAGTTTATCTTTAATAATTTTATGTAATATAATTTAATCCTTTATTTATAAAAGTATTTAACATTACAGGATTTTAGTTATTTTTAACAAGAAATTTATACTGAAAATATATATTAACAATATATTATTTAAATGCAACTATAAATTTTTATTTATTAAATTAACTAATTTTATTTTTAAAATGTAAAAATATTTAATAAAAATATTATAGAGAGTATGTTATTATAATATTTTATATTAAATTAAATGTAACTAATTATCTGTTTATTATTTGATCTATTGTAGAAATTAAATATATTTTTATCAGTTTAATTATTTTAATTCATTAAAATTAATATTTACTTAAACTAAATTAAATATATTAATTTTAGATGGTAAATTTTTAATTAACTATATTTTTATATTAATTTAAATTTACTAAATTTTGTATTTTTAAAATTATTTTATAATTACATTGCAGATAGTAAGTTATTTTTTTTTCTTTATTAATATTTATAATAAATTTATTAATATTTTTGTTATAAATAATAATTTTTTTTTCTAATTAATTTATACATTAGATTTGTTTTATTTTAATTTACATTTATGAATTTATTTGAAAAAATATTTAATATTACAGAAAGTAAATTATTTTATTTATTTATTAAATTTATTCTAATTTAATTTAATTTTTTTATTTAAAATATCTTATTACAGATAGTAAAGTTATTATTATTAACTTTAATTAATAGAATTAAATATAATTAAAAGTAAGTTATTTTAAATTATATTTTTATATTAACTAATATTAATTAAAATTTTATTTTTTAAAAATTTTTAATAATATATATAGATTTATTTAATTTAAAATTCAATTTAAATATTTTAATATTACAGATAGTAAAAATATTTTTTTATTATATTCTAATTATATATTATATAAATTTAATGCTAATTAAAATTTATTCAAAAATTTATTTTTATTATTTATAAAAAGTGAGTTATTGTAATAAAATAATAATAATTTTTAATATATTACTATAATATTAATTAAAAATAAATTATTATAATTTTTATAATAGACTGTAAATTAATTTTATTGAATTTTTAATTATAATTTTTGTATTTATTATTTTATAAAAACTTATATTTATTTTATTTTTTTTTATTTAATTATATTAATTTAATTAATAAAAAAAATTAATTATATTATAGCTTGTAAGTTACATTATTAATTTTTTAATTTTTTTTATATTTTAATATAATTATTAATTTAAAGTTTTTATTAATAATTAATATTTTATTAGTTTTTTTTAATTATTTTTTTATTCTAATTAAAATTAATAAATATTTGCATATTATAAGAATATTTAATATCTTTATATATAAGTTTTATTTATATAATATGATATTATATAATTTAAAATTATTTAAATATTAATTTATTTTAAATTACATAATTATTTTAATTTGATAATTATATAATAAATAAAAACATTATAGTTTATAAATTATATTAATTATTTTTTTTATATAAAAAATAACTTTAAAAAATTATAATAGGTAAATTATTATTTTCATAATATTTTAATTAATTTATCATTTTTAAATTTAATTTAAAAATATTAAATTTTAATTTTTATGTTAAATTTAAATTAATTAAAATTAAACTAAATTAATAATATTGAAATAAAATTAATAAAATATTTACTAAGTATTTTATATAAATATAATTCTTTTAAAATAATCAAATTTTATAGAAGCTATTCTTTAATAAATTACACTTATTATTATTAGCTATATCTTCTTTAGTAAGTCTAGAATCAAGTATCAATTAGATATATAAAGTAATGTATCATTAAAAATATTTTCAATATTTAAAAACTGATTATCTTTATCATCATCAGATAGCATATTATTTAAAATGTATTTTATAATAAATAAGATTTTATTTTTTTTGTATATTTTGAGAACTAAATCTTAGAATTTTCTAATTTTTTAGCTAATCAGTGATAAATATTTTTTTAATGTAAATACTATTGTTTTACTTTAAGATCATCCTTTGATTATAAATAAAAAGATTCTTACATATTTCATTAGAATTTATACAATTTTAGTAAACCAGTTTATAAATCTAATTTATTATATAAAATTTATTAAGGATTAATTAAGATAATAAAGATTAATTGAAAATAATTACAAGTAAAAATGGGTTATCATAATTAAAATTAATAGTATATTAAATTATAATTTATAGTGCAATTAAATTGCAATTTAATTAAAATTTGAAAATAATTATAGAACCATCTTTAATTATAAATATAAAATTTATGCTAAATTTTTACTTTTTTTTTTGACTAATTGCTTATTAGATTATATGAAAGAGTTTCTAGAAAAATCAGATTCTAAGAAATATTTAACTTAAATTAAGTATTTAATACATTTTAATCTAAAAAGATCAAAAACTAAGATGCAATAAAAATCTCAATTTTGTTAATAAATTCTCAAAACCTGATTTTCTTAATATTTAACCCATATGTATTTTAATGTTTTTCTTTTGAATATATAAATAAAATATTAATTCGCAATTTGTGAGAAATAGAAAGATTGATATAGAATTTTATATAATAATCAGCGGGGATAATAATAATAATAAAAAATATTGATATCAAGAATCTCTAACCGTTCTTAATCTAAACATGAATAAACAACCTAATTTCAACATAAAAATAGTTTCTGTTAGCTAAATAGTATCCCGACTGCATTATAGAGTGAATTTAATAGAATAGTAGATTATAAAAGATAATAGCAAACCAGAAGAAAGTGTATTTCTTTATCCTATTTGTGTGGGTTAGAAAACTATTATAGAACAAAACAATAGATATTTTTACATGTATATAACAGAAGAAAATGAAAATAATTAGGTACTGCCAGGGTATAAATGCCATTTTAGAAGTAAATTTAATAATGTTGAAACAGCATCAAGTTACGCTATAATAAGTTTATATCAACGAATTTTTTTTGATTAAAAAACAAAATTTTTGGACCACTGGTTTTAGGTTAAAGTAATAATGAATTATTGGAAGCCTCACTGAAAAATGTTTCTTTTTGAGCATTTGCTATTAAGATGAATGATATTTTGATATATATCACATATATTAGTATTTGTAGTCAAAAAAAATAATAAAAAGCTATATTATATTATTTATTGGTGTATATAAAAAAAAAGAAGTTTATTTGTTCAAATAATACAACCTGCACATTGTAAAATTTCAGTACATCAAGAGGATTATGAGCCAATATTTTTTTTTGGTTCTACTCTAGCAGAAGCATGGAAAAATGTAAGATCTTATAAAAAATATCATGGAATACCAGTTATTTGGTTTAGAAAATTCAATGACACAAAATATTATTAATGAACAATGAATTCCTACATATTTACCTATGTCTTAGGATAATGAAATACTTATGAATAATATTTTTAATTACCATTTGAGAAAGCGAACAATTAGTAATATTAACTGATAGCAATTTTTTCAACTTTGGCTTACACAAAAAAATACAATTGTTAAATTACATAGAATGCTAAAAATATATATCTATCCAATTATTTGTATGATAATGTGAACTATGAGTATAATGTGCAATGCTAAGGACTGTTAGATGTATAGAATTACTCTATTTTCTAAAGATCAATCAGAGGTAATGTAATATATTTATTATAATGATTATTATTATATCCAAATTAAACCAATGTTTTATCAATTTTAATATTAATTTTAATTACGAAATTCTAACCCATTTATAGATCAAAATACTTTGAAAATTCTATATCATAATGGGTTTTTAAATGCTATTCTAATAAATGTATTTAATTCAAGTAATCAATTCTGAGAATAAACAGGCCATAATGGAAAAATACAAATTTTGTTAATCATTGCAAATAATTTTGATTATGAAAAGCTTTAAAAAAATCTCAAAGTAGATGAAATTATTATTTATAATAAAGACTTACTATCAAATATTTATCTAACTATTTTCTATAAACTGATAAACAAGTTTATCTAAAATAATAATAAAAGCTAAACATCATTACAAGGTAATAGTCCAGGATATCCAGTAATTAATAAACCTATTATTACATAAGTCTGAACTACTAAAGAAATAGAAAATAATTCCAAAATTTTTTTGCTGATAAAATTATTGTAAATTTGAGTTCTTACAAGATAAATGTAAAAACTGGCAAATCACTCAAATATCTAAAAGATCAAAAGAAACATTGTGACAAAAATATTTTGAGTTGTATCCTACTGGTATAAAATAAATAACATTTTTAACATATTTGAAAGATGGCCTTTATGTGTATAAGAAAGATTTGGGAGATTTATGTAAGATTTGTTCAGAATATGAATATAGTGTATTGATAATTTAAAGACTCTAATAATAGAAAGAATAAGTAAAAAAATACAACAGGTAAATATAATTTTTTATAGTATTTTAGTTGGTTCAGATATGAGAAAAAAATTATATAATATGTTTTTTATATTACAAAATAAGTTTTTAATAAATAAAGAAAATACTTTCGACATTTACTATTTATTTATGTATAATTATATTATTTGAAGTTATAATTAATAAAAAAAAAATAATAATAATAAATATTCATAAATACATTATTAGAATCAACTAATTATAGAGATTGAATCAATTCATCAGTATTTAAAGTGTGAATACGAGAAAGAACTTTAAATAGATTATTTAGAATAATCTTATCATGTTAAATATCTTGAAAATTGTCTTCTATATGCTTTTAGAGAATATGATAAACTCCACTTTTCTAATTGCAATTAATATAACAAAATATTAGAATTTTTTCATCAATTGGCTTACACAATATCAGATAATTTTAAGTAAATTATGGAAAATTGAAAAAAACTTCAATATTTCTGGTCTCATCAAGTATGTAAAATATACTTTAATGTCTAATTTAATGAAAAATTTGCTTTCTTTTAATGATGTAGATACCGTTATTATGGTAAATTATAAAATAAAGATTTTGCCTAAATCAGCATGAGAGGTAAAGTCAGATTTCTATGGAAAATCTAGGTAAACATTGCATACAATGTTAGTATATACAAAAGCTAATAATCACGAATTAGAAATAAAGCCTTTGATCATTGGTCTTTAGTTACAGTTCAAGATGCATAATTTACAGCATTATGTTTTGGAATTATCTTTAATTTATTTGAAAAAAACCAAAATGGGTAAGAATTCTATCTGATAATGGTATATACTACCATTGTGCTGAGTTAATGGCAATAATTACAAACTAGAAATCCTAGTATGATATGGAAATTTAAAGTTGGATTTTTTTAGAGGCAGGAGAAGCTAAAATAACAATTAACTTACATAATATTCAAGTTATTAGCACAATGGTTGTGCAGATAAATTATAGCTATAACTTACAAATCTTTTATCATTATTTATTTTCAGATTTCTCATGCTATCAAGTAGTATGTTAGGCTAGGATATGACATATCTGAAGGTCAAGATATAGAAGAAGCAATCAAAGATATTAGAGGAGCAATAGTTGCAAATATTAAATCAAATCAAAAGAAAAAATAAAAAAAACCTGTGATGACTGGCATTTCTAATTGGTTCAAATTTCAATGACCTATTCAAGGAGAATTCAATGGTTTTGCATGTGAACAAATCCTTTCAAACTTTGGAATATAGAATGATTTTTTTCCTTCTGCTATTTATAAATCAATGAAGGGTGATGAGCAAACTCAACCAAATCCTTTTATTTTTACACCTACAAATTTAAACTCTAAGTGGATAATTCTAATATTATTAACAAATCAAAATAATAACTCCTAAAATGAAATAGCTGAATTAAACTGGTTGATAAAGGATAATACTAAAGAAAAGCTAAGAAAAAGATTCCTACTTTATGATGAAAAAGAAAATTAGCAAGCATTAATTACAATTTTGAGAGAAAATATTACATATAAAATGATAAATAAAATAGCAGATAATAAATTTTTTTTTTGTAAATTAATTTGCAATAAACTTTAAATAATTCAATTTCCTATTATATAGAAGCAAGAAGGACGATTAATACAGTAAAAAGTAATAATATTACAGAGTTAGAAACAAAAAAAGAAAGGAAAGGAAAGGAGAAAAAAAAGAAAAGGAAAAAGAAAATGGGTAGGTGAGCTACTTCAAAAAATAAAGATATCATAATATTTTATAATAATAATATTATATTATTTCTCTTAGAAACAATTATTTTCAAGTTGGTTGGACTTTAAAAGAAAACTAAAAATATGAAAAGAAAGTTAGCAGAAAACACATACCTGAAGAAATACTAGAATTATTAAAAGGGTTTTTTCATGCAGGTAACGCTCATAAAAGTAAAAGATATTCTACAAAAGAAAAGCTTGATGAATTACAAAAAAAGGCAGAAATGGATGATCTAGAGGAGACTGATATATCAGGATTAAAACCTATTGAAAATTGGATTAGTTAGTATTCTCGATAATACAAACAAGTAACGATAAAAAAAACTTGGCTAAATATTAATAAAATTTGCTTATAATACTTTTATTTAACGTCTAAATGGGTTTAAATTACTTTTTTTTGTATTTTTTTCACTTTTAGATTTTTGTAAATTCACGGTTAGAACCTATAATCCTGAGCTTCTATGGCATTTATGCAAAATCTGTTAAAAAAAAGTGTTTTTTTTAACTTAATGAATAGTTTAAGTTTGAGTGACGTTTTTCATTATGCATGTTTGGAACACTTTATCATTAAATCAGAAGTTTGTATTATATGACATTTTTTCAATTGTGGTAATTTTTTATAATTAATTATATAAATTTGTTCTGATCAGTATTATGCATATTTTTTTCATTTCTGGTAAATTATGAATTAAGTATTATTTTTTAAAAGATTTTTTGTTTGCATTGACTTACTAATTTATAAATAATTTGTTTTTTACTAATATAGTAATAAAAATATTGAACTTGAGCTAATATGTTGATTGATATTTAATATTAAAATTAGCAATACAGTTAACTCTTATTATAACAAACTCTATATCCTAGACTTTAACTTCATTATAAAGCTATAGTGAAGATTTTAAGAGATTTGTTTAGCTTATTTGATATAACAAGAGTATTTTTATTATATTTATTCAAAAAATTTATTATATCAAGAGTTTGCTATATTAAGAGTTGACTGTATTACAAGTTCAGATAATGATATATTAAAAGGATTTAAATTTCTAGATAATCAGTCTTCTATTAGTTCTTTTTTAGAGATAGACAAAATTTTTCTGATGAAATCACTGATTTTAAATAATTTAAAGTATTAAGAAATCAAATATCACTAGTAAGTAGTAAAATATTTCTTGACGAATTTCTTAAACTATTATCTAATAATATAATTATTTAAGTGAAATGCTTAATTTAATAGTTGAATATTATATGGAGATTTATATTACTTTTGAATTTAAATCATTCATTAAGGATTTAAAAGATAGTATAATAATTCAGATCAAAATGAATCAATTCAAAAGGTGTTACATTGGTTCTGGAATCTTTAGTTTATCAATATCTTTGTTAGAGGTTAGAACTGGTTAATTTTTAACCAGTTAATTAATCGGTTTAAACGATTAACATGTTTTGCGTCATAAATATCGATAAAGATTAATGTTATTAACATCTTTAACATTTTTAACTTCTTCAATATTTTTATTTTATTTATATTTATCTTATATATTATTATTATTAGCATAGTTAAATTATATTTATTATCTTGTATGTTATAAATGTGTTTATATAAAATAGCTTTAAATAGCGATCTTCTTTTCTTATATTTGTATTTTTATATAAATAGGATAGAAAATTGTTCTTGTAAAAGGACAGAGAGATAACAGTGATAACTCAATAGTTCGAGTTAAAGACAGAATATTATTTAGTTAGTTTACTAAATTAATGTATCGTTTTCATAAATATATTGATCACGCATTATATTGCAGTTGATTTTTAGTTGAATAAAA